ACCAGCATCTTAGTCCTTCCTGAGCTTTCAAGGCAAACAGATGTGATTCCTGGCCATTACGAAACGTATAGAAACATCCCTGATTTTCTTTCCTCAAAAACCTGCCCCCCAATATTTTACCCCAAACCAAATATGATCGCCCAAATATCAGAGAGTGATTTCAAAGGAAAGAATCTGAATATGGGAAAAGAAAAATAAAAGCGTAGCATTTAAGATACTTTTTCATACCAAATATCAAATAATAAAAATATACCTTTGTGTTTGAAGAGCCAAGTCATAGAAATACGTAAAGGCAAATCAATTGTTTCCAGCTGTAATCAGCGATAATAACCCAAGTACGTGAGAGCATGAGAAAGATGATCAGTTTCCTTTTGAGGTTACATGATAAGCAGCAGCAGTTAAGCAGCCTTTTTCTCTAAAACTCAGCGTCTGACCTCATGGCAAGAGGAGGCCAGCCCCTCTCCCTGTCCCCCTTTATAGCGTGCGCTTTCTCTTCATCACTCTAAATGGGGGCGGGGGAAGCTAAGGACCTATTTTCTAAAATACAGAATACAAACTGTCGTTCGAAAGAAGTTGCGTGGGCACAGAGGAGGGGCTGAGGAGGCGGGGAGGGGGCAACGAGCACTAGGTTTGTGGATTTTTTTCTGCATACTGGAAATTCCCAAGCCAAAAAGGTACCAACCCGAGTCCCGGACATTCCCCGAGAGGGCCGGCTCCAAGAGCTGGACTGGAGTCCCGCAGAGGAATCAGAAGCAAATCTGAAAACAAAACATTTTTCTTAGAGATGTCTTTTTAAACTCTCAGTGAATCCACGCCGGGCACTGGCGTTCCCTCCTCATTTGATTCCCCTCTTCTTATTTAGCTTTTTCTATCTGGCTTCAAGATGGGGGCGGAGGAGAGGTTGGGAGCAGGTAGATACTTTCTACGACACGGCACTTCAAAATATGGCAATCAAAAAGGAGTATCGCGATCGCGTAACTTGAAAGACAAAGGACGATCTGAGACCCATACAAAGTAGTGGATCTGTAACAAGAAGATCACGTTAACTTTCACCCGGGCAGGGGCAGAGGGTAGAGGGGGTTGAACAGAGAATGAATTATTGCACAACACTTAAAGGATTTTGCCTATGACATTTGGTTTCACTGTGACTCCTTTTCCTTCTGGGACACTTCACAGCTGTGCTCCCTGTGTTGCTTGCTGCCCTTTCCGCCAGCAGCGTTACTACTCAGCTTTATAATCAGACAGGAAATGTCTGATTCTCCGATAGGAATCCGCATCTGGAGCTAAACACCAGAAGGTCCTTAAAACTTTAATGGAAGGTCCTTCTTAAAAGAAGTCTGACTTCTTCTCATTTAATAGAGAATATTATAAAGCAGAATATTATACTTAAATTCACATTTTTAAAAAGTTAAAATGTAAATGCACTTTCAAAAGACAGGGTAGACTGTACTTGGTCTAGTTCACTTTGTGCTTTTCTACCTTTTGTATCCAATAAACTTCTGCCTGCAGCAACTCTCTTATCTTCCACCCCCTCTCCAAGGTTCCCGGAATTCCTAGGTGCTCCTAGTACTCAAGAACTGTGGTCTCACTTTCAAAGAGAAAAGGAACACCTTCGAAGTCCTATTTAGTGTACATTGAAAAGTCAGGCATTCTAAGGGCACTGAGAACTGCACTCTAGACAAGAGAATAATGCTTAACACAAGAGAATGAGTACACTTAAAGTGGAATTTCTAGCTGGAGCCTGCTTCAGATTCTGTGTCTCCCTCTCTGCCCCTCCTCGGCTTGCCCTCTGTCTCTCTCTCAAAAATAAATAAAAACATTAAACTTTTTTAAAAAAATGGAATTTCTAGCATAAGCAACTAGCTAATGTTAATAAACTGAATTAACCCAAAGGTAATTCTGAGCACTCTCAGAATTGGAGGGGGGTGGTGTTAATTTCCCTGTGCCTCTCTAGTTGCTTTTTCCTTTAATAGGGCCCAGAAACAGACTCACTTCTGGCATGTAACATGGATATATTCTTGTTAAACATCCCAATGTATCAATCTGAAACTTAATACCTGAAACCAGGAAGTGTCAGTCAATTGGTATTTAATAAAATAGTGGTTGTTCTGAATGGTAAAATGGATTGTATTAGAACGCCAAAGATCTGTTTTGTATTGCTAATGAAAGGTTACTCTTAATAAGATAACGTCTAGAAAATATAATTTGCATAGAAGGGCCTTATTATGGATTCTCCCTTTCACAAGTAGCATCAAATCAATCATTCGAGTTCTAGAATATAAGGAGATCCACTAAGCGATATTACTGCTGTCATTCCAAAATAAAAATCCTTATGAATTGTTTAACCCATATGAAGTTTAGCTCAATGAAATTATATATTAACCATTTTAATATTTTATTAAAAAAAATTTTTATGTTTATTTATTTTTGAAAGAGAGACAGAGACAGAGCATGAGCAGGGAGGGGCAGAGAGAAAGGGAGACACAGAATCTGAAGCAGGCTTCAGGCTCTGAGCTGTTAGCACAGACCCCAAAGCAGGGCTCGAACTCACAAACCATGAGATCATGACCTGAGCCAAAGTCTGATGCTCAACCAACTGAGCCACCCAAGTGGCCCTTAATATTTTAAACCTAAATGTCCAACCATAATGGCCAACTTATGTTAATAATGATAACATCATTAGCTGAACTGTTGGGCAGACTTTTATAATTCAGTTATGAAGACTATTTAACAAAGAAAAATATTTGTATGCTAAATAAAAAAACACAGATACAAATTACATATTATCTGTGACTACAGCTAGGTGGATTTTTAAGAAAAAAAAACCTGGAAGAAAAGGCTAACACAAAAGGCTAACACATTCAGATGATAGAATTATAGATTCTATCCACAGATTTTCTTTGTCTAGATTTTAGTTTTTAAAAATAATGATGCCCTTTTTAATAGAAAATATATAAAACAAACTATGTTATTTTACTAGCAAGCTAATAGTCACTAATGGGTGGTACTAGCCTAAAATAAACTTCTCAGAAGAAATTAAAACATTGTATCTAATTGTTCTGGGAAAGATTTAGGTAATATTCCAAACTCCATGCTTAGGCATTTTTTTTAAAACTTCCACACCAGAGAATGGAAAGACAAATTAGAAAAGGGACAAAATGAATCAGAATACTTCAAGGAACTATGTCATCAAATCTTTAAGAGCTTTTATAACTAAATCAAAAAGTAACAGAAATTGGACAAGATCACAAGAAACCATTTGCACAAACAAGAAATGTGACTCCAAAGCCCTGGAGAAGCAGTGGAAATTGAAATTCTCCTGGGAAGATAACACCTCAGACTCCTCCAGCAATCCTTTAGAAAATGCTCAAAAAGTCCTTTCATGAAAAAGAACATCTCTCTTTACAAAAGTCCGGCACATTGCGGTTGCAAAGGGCTATACACTCTCACATACCCTCATTCAAATCCAAACTCAAGTTCTTCTATAAAATGTACCTAATATCACCTACAGTACTAGATCATGATCAGAATTAAATATTAGAGATTAAGCCCCTGAAATAATAGACAAGTAATATTATTTCCTTAGTTCTATCTTCCTTCTTCCCTTAGTTGGTATTTCTCAAAGTGTAGAATACTACCAATGCATCAGAATCACTGGATGCTTGTAACAAAGGTTGATTCGACAATTCCCTATACTTTTATCAAATATTTCAGGTGATTCTCAGACACTCTAAAGCTTCAAGACCATTAAAATTAAGCAATTTTAATATGTTTTAACTACTTGTTGGTGCTCCTTAGACTCAGAAAATAATTAAAAAATCTTTTCCAATGTATTTTATAAATTTGAAGGTGGCCCTCAAGTCTAAGAAAGGAAGTTGGTTTTTGTTTTGTTTTGTTTTGTTTTGTTTTGAGAGAGAGTGTGTAAGTGATCAAGGGGCAGAGAGAGAGAATCCCATATGGGGTAAGTGGGACTCACCCAAAGCAGGCCTCGAGGTTACCTGATGCGGGGCACGAACTCATGAACCATGTGATCATGATCTGAGCCAAGTCGGATGCTTCATGACTGAGCCACCCAGTTGCCCCACTCTTTATGTTAAAACTCCAATTTCCTTGAGGTGCCTGGGTGGCTCAGTTGGTTGACCATCTGACTTTGGCTCAGGTCATGATTTTATAATTCATGAGTTCAAGTCTGACACTGGGCTCTGTGCTGACAGCTCAGGGCCTGGAGCCTGCTTGGATTCTGTGTCTCCCTCTCTCTCTGCCCCTCCCTCCCCGCAAAAATAAATAAACATTAAAAAAATTTTTTAACTCCAAATTTCTTGACCCATTCTAAGAGTGTATTTTTTCATGCTTTACACATTGGTCTTCATCTCTAAAGCCTCTCCAGTCTCTTTATATATCCATTTAGGGATAACTAAAACTAGACTGTCATCCATTCTGGCTCAAAAAGAAAAGAGTGCTTACTAAATGGTCTCACATTAACTTAAAGTCGTTTAAAATTAATAAGGTAAAGACAGTTAAGTAAAATTGATAATGCTGTTATTTTAAGATAACCAGTAGGAATAGCAGTTTTTTACTTCCAAGCATGAAAGAATGTGTGTACCTTATGTCCCAATCAAGAAGTACTTGTTACAGGGGTGCCTGGGTGGCTCAGTTGGTTAAGTGTCCAACTTCGGCTCAGGTCATGATCTCACAGTTTGTGGGTTCGATACCCAAGTTGGGCTCTGTGCTGACTGCCAGCTCAGAGCCTGGAGCCTATTTCAGATTCTGTATCTCTCTCTCTCTCTCTTTCTCTCTCTCTCTGATCCTCCCCTGCTCATGCTGTCTCTGTCTCTGTCTCTCTCTCTCTCAGAAATAAATAAAATATTTGAAAAATTTAAAAAATAAATAAATAAATACTTGTTACAGATCTCACTATCTAATTTCTAATTAGATTTTCATTTCTAACGTTGGTAAGCAATTCAAACTAACAACCAAAAAATAAACACTTGAAACTGATGGAAGTAACTTGTACAACTTTATAATAAACAACAGGGTTCTGTACATAAGTCAATTCTTAAAACCCTCAAACTTCAGAACACAAAAATAAATTTCCATTTATAGATTTCCCCCTTCCAGTTCCAAAAGTGATTATTTTAAAGTATTCATCGTGTAAGATTTAGCTGAATCAAGTAATAACAACTGGCCAACACACATCAACACAACACACAGATTTCATATACACCGCTTCGTATTTCCCTTTTGCTGCTTTTCTAGATAAAAGCAGGACACTGTAAATGTTCTCACTAGAAAATTCTAACCAAAGATACTTGCCTTTCAAGTAATTCAAAAAGGTGAATAAAGAGGAACTCCTGAGACCCAGCAGGCTTCTGTGTGTCACAGGAGCCCCTAACCATAAGCGTCATGAGTTTATCACGCTGAAGATGGACCAACTGAGCTACTCACACAGATAAGCACAATCTCCTTTACCACAAAAGCTACAAACACTCCACTTCCAACCATTTAGGTCAGAACATTTTTCAATTTTTAACATAGTAATTCCTCCCCTCAGGAGAGGCTAATTCAAACACACTCATTAGTATCTTTGGTTACAAGGGCAATACGGTGCGTAGATGTTGCTAATAATGGTTCTCCCATGGCTATGTAAAGATTGGAAAAAATCCTGTAGGTAGATACAAATGCAACCTGCATTTTCTAAGCTCCTTACAAGTCATTATATAAAGTCCAGCTCTTTTTGAAATTTTGTACATTTCAATAGCAGCTATCTCTCCATGGAGCCACCCATAAACTGTCTCCAATGCAGAAAATGTGATTCCTTCAGTTCCTTCCAGGGCAGGCTAGGTCTCCAGGGGGCACACAAAGGACAAGAACATGTCCAGTTGGTTCTTCACAATAACTTCATCCGGATGTAGTTTGTGGGGTAAATAATGAGCCAGGGTCATCTCCCAGGCATCAACGAGATATACTCCAACCCCTGAGAACATCTTCCGGAGGATGGTGTCCAGCTGGAAGTTGTACCAGTCACTATTGAAAAGGCTCACTTCAGGCCCCAGCTCTTGGGCATTGGCTGTCCGGATGACTATCACAGTCTTAGGGCTTCGATCCAGGAGCTGGACCACTGCTCGGCGGATGTTCCTGAGCCGTCGGATATACACTTCCAAAGGGAAGGTGCTGAAGTGGGACCATATAGCTATGGCAACAACTGTGTTCTTCCCTCCCACGATGCCATTCAGCTCATTTGCCACATAATGGAGCTCATTGCTAAAGACGGTCGTAAAACGGATGGGCGGGCCATGGCAGCGGTATTTGAGCAGGATGTTGTGCTTCTGGTCCACCGCAAGGAAGGGACCCACATTCTTGGGACTACCCAAGTTAAACTCCACTAAATCTGAAATGAGGAAAATTCAAATTTATAAAAATGTTCAAAACAAGCACATATATTATGATCATCTTTTACTTAGTGGCTTAAGAGAACTTTTTTTAAAAAAATCAAAGTACGATAAAAAGGTACAACTGAAAAGGGAATACCTATTTCACTGGCCTCAATGGACCTTCATTCTAACATATTATTTAAACCATCTGTGATAGATTCTATACATATGTCTGTGTACCTCAGAAGCAAAACAACCTGCTTACCTCTAACCATTAGGTCAAGAAATCTTCCTGTTTGCATTGATTGCTGAATATTTAAAAATCAATTTGGTGTTTGTACATTACTGTTCTAACTGATAAATATTATTTATTCCAGGACAAGGGCTAGAAACTTCTACTTTTTAAGTAAAAACATAATAGTAACCAAATACCTTTTGAAATACATGACAGAAAGAAGCAACCCTGTTTCTTTTGAGTTCCAATTTCACCTATGTATGGAAAATCATATTAATGTCTCACAGAATGTCTATCTCTGTCACAAGAATAACAGAGACTATAACACGAGTTAGAGTTCACTTTTCCCTCCCCTTTATCTAAGTTATGTTTCAAAGTCTAGCTCCTCTGAGGTCTTCTGAAGGTCCCAGGAATCAGTCAATATTTCTCTTTTGTTACTTCTAAAAAACCCTGTCTGTACAACTCATCACTTAGCATATGCCCCATAAAGGAAAGAGGGCCTGTCTCATATCCCTGAATGTCCCCTGCAAGTGCCTTACAAAGAACAGACTAAGTAACTTCTGGCAACCCAAGTCAATTAACACTTCCTAAGTACCTATTTAGTGCCAGCCACTACAGTGCTGAAAGCCAGCAATGTTCAGATGGAGAAGTCACAGTCCTTGCTTTCAAGAAGTTTACAGTCAATTCTAAAGAAGTAACATCACACCCTAATTGTCCTACATTCTTCTTAAGGGTTAAAGTTTTCACTCTTCTCTCCATGCAGTCCTAGTCTCTTCTTCTAGATTCATTACTACTTAGCATTGGCTCCATTTAAATAGAATAAACTCAAGCTACCACTTTTTTCTTTTGATTAAAATCAAGCACCAGCGTGAGGCTTTATTGAGTGAAAATCTATCTTGCAAAGGATACAGTGGAAAATAATCATGACACTCAATGTGATCACTGCTATGAAAGGAAATATTTAGCTACGTCATTAGAACTTAAACAAACAACTACAGACTCCCAGAGGGCCCTGCCTAGTCAACATCAAAACATGCTTAGCATTATGCCATACAAATTATAGCCTTTTCCTAGTTTTTAATTTATGTTTTATCAACCAAACTCAGCTGTGTCTGTTTCAATAAAAAAAAAAAACAAACAAAAAAAAACAAGCAAAACAAAAACTGGAATTAACTTTCCACTTTTGGGGATTATACCTACTTCTTCCTCTTTCCTTCGAAAAATTAAATCTGAAATGAAGTTGATATAAAGAGAGAGAGAGAGGGGCGCCTGGGTGGCTTAGTCAGTTAAGCGTCGACTTTCACTTAGGTCATGATCTCACGGTTCGTGGGTTCGAGCCCCACGTCGGGCTCTTTGCTGACTGCCAGCTCAGAGCCTGGAGCCTGATTCGGTCTGTGACTCCCTCTGTCTCTGACCCTCCCCTGCTCACACTGTCTCTCTCTCTCCTAGAAATAAATAAAAATATAAAAAATAAAAAATAAATAAAATAAAATAAAAAGAGAGAGAGAGAGAAACACTACCAATAACTTACAACAAACTATGGGAATTTGCTTTATGGAAAGTCCTGTCCATTTACAACCCTCAAAAACAGTTCCCATGGAATTATTTATCAGCTCTCTAAATTGTAAGCAGGGTGTTTAGTACTGTTACTTGAGGTTCATTCCTTCTCACTCCATCCACACACCTTCCACATAGAGGAAAAGGCCTGTTTGAATAAGGGAGGGCCCTCCAATGAGTGGGACTTTATTCCCTGGGAGTCCAGCAGTGACACCAGGAAGCTAAGAATGCTGGGACTTACCAAGATTCCCTCAGTAGGAGCCAGCTCATCTCAGAATCATATCAATGGAATGCCCAACGGATGACACTGGGAAGGCTGTACTGTATGGATGCATTAAAATGGACCACAGTCTGGCTGCTTCCTTCCAGTTAAATCTATTATAAACTTGGAGTCTGACCAAACAGAACTAGGAGAGAAACAACTGAAAATGTCCACCTCTGTTTTATAGCCCAGAATATCAAAAGTAAAAGACAGCTGTGAGATGATTCTATCTAGCTGCTCCACTGCACACATGAAGAAGCCCTGGGGAGTAAATAACATGTCCAAGGTCACACAGCTCATCAGTGGTGTGAACTTCAATTCCAGTGTTTCCATCAATACATCACAACCCAACCATGGATCATAAACCATTACACATCTCTCCAGGGTCAAGACAACTGTTTAGTCCTACAGAGAAATAATTACTTCCTCACCTGATGCCCTTCCTCTGGCACTGGTGTGAAGAAAGCTGATTTTGTGCATGTGGAAAAGCATGATGAAACAAAATGCAAAGTACCAACCTGGAACAAACGTAGTAAGGTATTCAAACCATTGCCTGATCGTTGAGTCACCAAACAAATACACCACTTTTCTTTGTAAGCATTCTGTAATGTTGTCAGGGTCATTAAACTGGCGCATCTTAAACTTTCTGGGCCTCCACTGATCTTTATAATAAAACCCAGAAGGAAAAGTTCCTGAGCCGTGAGATAGTTCTAGATTGTTGGTTTCTGAAAAGAAAAAGGAAAAAAATAAGATATTCTGAAAGTCTTCTCCAACTAACTATATATGGAAAATATTCCAAGAAACAAAATTATGCCCCCATATCTGTTAGCCTGCTGGTATATGGGTAACATTTCCTGCCATCACATCTCAAAGAAATCCCAGACTTTCCCCTTGCTACAAAAGGTTCTCCTTTGCACAAAAATAGGAAGATCTGAAATTTGTGTGAGAGTATAGATGGACAGAGGGGGAGAAGGGGACTTTGGGCATTCCCTCTGATAATGTACCTTTTTATCAAGGCTAAAAATAAAGGCAAGCAAATACCATGAAAATGTGTAGATATTAAGCATTGTCGAACATTACCCCAGAATAAGTTTCTCATCCAAAGGCCTATGAGGCAAGTAACACCTTAAATTCATATTTTACATATGCCTAGTAATAATAGTCCACTGTTTCTCAACCTAATAAAAGGAAAGTTTTAACCCATGGGTCCGGCAATCAAATATTAATTCACAAATCCACCACTTAATACAGCGAAGAAACCAAATACACACACTCTAAAGAACTATTCCCTACAATACGAAAGGATTGGAAAGTCTTTATGCACAATGAGCAGTATTTAAAATGCAGCAGCCAGTGAGTACTCATGGTTGTAGCCCAGCTGCACATGTCAGGATTGCCGGGACACCCTTCAGAGGGAAAGTCAACACCCTTCTTCCCTAACACCCCCCTTGTAAAATGCTGTTGTAAGAACAACACACTTTAATGCTTCAAAATAAACAGACAGGAATGGCTAAAATTTCTTATGAGTTTACTTTGCAATTAAATATATTATCTCATATGATGCTCACAATAACCCTTTTAAAGTAAGTCCTAATGTTACTCCTACCTTTTAGAACAGCAACTGGACCTAGATCCAGAGCTAGCAAGCAGCAAAGCCAAGACCTGATCTAAGCAGGTGAGCCCCAAAGCCCATGTTCTAACCACTATGCTATCCGTGGGCTATCCCACGTCTCAAAAGTAGAGGTATGTAGATGCCAGCCATTTTCTTTTTAGCTTTTATCCTGAAGGCATACACTTACTCTTTTCTAACACCTATTCAAATCTACAATCTTCAAAAACCACCAATTATTTTATATCACTTCCTTACACACCCCTAAGCTTAAACCTTGACCATAATCCAGTAATTCTACAGTCTCACCTGTTAAACCACAATTCAAAATCCAAATGTTTATACGACTCAGAAGTCTAAATTTGAGTCCCAGATTTGTGACTATTTTCAGCTTATTATCTTGATATTATAAGATAATACTCAAAATTATTTTGGTTCTATTCCCTTCAAAGAAGATGCCCTACAGACAGATAGTGCATTTTTAACCTTTTAATTCAAGCATCTGCTAATTCTTTGAAAGTTCAGGGCTTAAGCTGAAAAGTAAACAGCATTTTAAAAAGCTTTACTTGGAAAATGTCACTGTCAAAGAAAAAAAGGAGAGGGGGTGGGGTAAATATTTATTTGGCTCATTCAAAAACAATTTCTCCACATGTTACCAAAGTGTGACTCTATGTTACCATACCTTGCCCAAAGCTTCCTCATTATATCAACATGTCAAGGTTAACAGAGACAGGGAGCTCCAGACCAGACACCTGGGACCCAAAGAAAACATCTACTAGAAGGGGAATTAAAAGTGATTTTAAGTTACACTTTTTGCCATGGTTCATTCATGAGACTTGACTACTCTGTACCAAATACCTGTTATAAAGGAAAGTGTATATCACACAGGAAACAATTACCATTTCCATTCAAATGTTAATTATATTTACTACTAGAGTTAAGTCAAGCAAAGCAAATCAATTACTGAACTGACATTAATTCTTCACACATGCAGCACTAGATAACAGAGCGAATCTTTAAAGTGTAATGCATGTACCTACATTGCCCTCTTCTGGTCAGCTGAGGCAAAAACATTTCTTATTTTAATAAGACTTTAAGCAGTCTGAAGTTATTTTAAAAGTCTGCATTTCTTGGGGCGCCTGGGTGGCTTAGTCGGTTAAGCGTCCGACTTCTGCTTGGGTCATGATCTCACGGTTCGTGGGTTTGAGCCCCGTGTCAGGCTCTGTGCTGACTGCCAGCTCAGAGCCTGGAGCCTGTTTCAGAGTCTGTGACTCCCTCTCTCTCTGACCCTCCCCTGCTCACGCTGTCTCTCTCTCTCTCTCTCTCTCTCCCCTAGAAATAAATAAAAAACATTAAAAAAAAAGTTTTAAAAAAAAGTCTGCATTTCTTGGAAATTGGAATGCATTTTCACATAAGATATGAAAGTCTCTTAAATCTATAATATAACCCCTAATGAACTATACATGTGGAATAAAAATAACTTTTTAAAAATTTATTTGTGAGAGAGAGAGAAAGCACAAGCAGGAGAGGGGCAGAGAGAGAGAGGGAGAGAGAGAATCCCAAACAGGCTCCCCGTTGTCAGCACAGAGCCTGATGCGGGCCTCCAACTCACAAACCAGCACCAGATCATGACCTGAGCCTAAGTCAAGTTGGACACTTAATCGAAATAGTTTTAAAACAAAAATGAGTTATTACTTAGACTTTACAGTTTTCTTTTTTTTTTTTTTTAATGTTTTATTTATTTCTAGGAGAGAGAGAGACAGCGTGAACAGGGAAGGGTCAGAGAGAGAGGGAGTCACAGACTGAAACAGGCCCCAGGCTCTGAGCTGGCAGTCAGCACAGAGCCCGACGCGGGGCTCGAACCCACGAACTGTGAGATCATGACCTAAGCGAAAGTCGGATGCTTAACCGACTAAGCCACCCAGGCGCCCCAGACTTTACAGTTTTCTTAAATACTGATGGAGAAGGAAGTAGTTTTTGTGTAGTTTTGTGTAGGTGGTTATCAGAGGGAGATAAGATTTTTAGGCAGAATCAGAAGGGATAGTTTCAATTACCTGCAAGTTAAGGTCCCTGCTTCTCTAAAATGTCTTGGCTTTTCTTTAAAACCCATAGCTATTATTTTGCTCCAAAGGGTGTCATCCCATGCTGTTCATTAGCCAAAACGACAGCTATTTGGACCACAGATGAGATAAATGAGAGAGAAGGGCAGAGAAAAAAATTTTTCCTCAACTATCTAGAAAGAGCTGGATGAGAAGAAGACAGTGTGAGTTAAGGGTGGGAGGTATATGTGAGCGCATGTCAGTGCACATACGCAGTCCCTTAACTTTATAGCATAGAATTATCAGTAGAATTAAGAAAAGTAAAAGGCAGGCCAACAGGAGCATATAGTTCATGAGAGGAAAAACAAGACAAGACAGAGAGTCAAACAATCCCTCGCATCAGGGAACACTAAGAGCATCTGCATGCTTGGGTGCCATCTCAGGGAGATGAGAAATGAGGACAGTGTGTGTCGAGCTGCTCAGGCACACCTTGTCAAGCACTGGGGCTATGAGAAGTCCTGGCTACACAGTAGTTATTGTAGCTTGAGTTTACCCTTGCGTCCCCCCTGGAAAACCTTTGGAATTTAATTATTTTCTTTATACTTTAGTCCCCTAAGACCTAAGCATTTTTCAGAGGAAAGCTAAATAAGTACAGGTAGAAATACTTATAGATTCAAAGAATGCTGAAAGGGACCTCAGATAATGACTAGTACAAATGTCTTTTAAAGGTGAAGACCGTATGTCACAGAGAGACTTTACGAAGTTTCCCAGAAAGCGGTAGAGCTAGCTAGTGGTAAACATGGTCCTGTTTACAAAGGTATACATTTCACTACTGATATAGTGGTGGGAGTGGGCTTCCTACCCCCAAATGATGCCAGTCAGTTGGATTTCACATAGCATATGAGCACTTTGATTTTCTAAGTTAACCAAACAAAATGTATTCTGTACCAAGTATTTTTTCCAACAGCTGGAAAGTGGTTGTCTTTATAAATAACTTTGACCAGCAGTGCCTGGGTGGCTCAGTTGGTTAAGCCTGACTCTTGGTTTTGGCTCAGATCATGATCTGATGGTTCCGTGAGTTCGAGCCCTGCTCAGGCTTTGCACTGACAGTAAGGAGCCTGCTTGGGATTCTCTCTCCCCCAACCCACCCTCAGAATAAATAAATAAACCTTTAAAAAATATATTTGTCCACTTTATTGTGATAGCACCTCTACCTTTCCATTTTCTAAACAACATCAGAGTGAGGTCTCATCTACCAACTCATTAGTATAGTTTTCATCGGACAACATAAAACACTATTTTATCATTCATTCCATCATTTGGATGCATTTAAACTAGAGAGTTGATAAACTCTACTACTGCAAACAAACCCAGACATCAGGACATCCTCCCCCACGCCTCCCAGGCATATTAAGCAGAAAAAGAGCTAGACTCCAGTCAGAGGTTCTGGTTTATGTCTGACTCCAATAGGAGACCCCACACCTCTCCAATAGGAGACCCTAGAAATCACTTAAAACTCTTATCTTAGTCATCTGCTGTATTCTCAGAGTCCAGTCTAGCATCAGACACAGAGCAGATGTTAAAATGATGCCTGAATGAATCTCTGGACCTTGCTTTCATTACCTATAAAACGGGTAAACTACTAGTTATTTTGAAGGGCTGTTGTGAAAGTTCAATACTGTAGTAGTATTAATAGTTTTTAATAGTGAAGGGCAACACTGGAATGCTGCAAATAGTCTATATGTTCTAAGCATTCTATGTCTTCATGTGGGTAGTCGTTATTTTATTAGTTTTCTATTGTTGCATGACAAATCACCACAAACTTAGTGACTTAAAAACAAGAGATATTATCACATAGCTCTGCTGAGAATCCAGAGCGTGACAGAGCTGGGTTCTCTGCTGAGGGTCTCACAGGTTGAAATTAGGTTGACGACAGGATTGTGCTCCTTTCTGTAAACGAGAGAAATCTGCTTCCAACCTCATTCAAATTACTGGCCACATTCAGTTCCTCGTGGTGATACTACTGAGTTTCTTATTTCTTTGTGGTTGTCAGTGAGGGAATGCCCTTCAGCTCCCA